GGGGGATAAATACTCTTCCAAAATGGAAAAGGAGAGTGAGCGAACGCGTTGGTGGGCCGGTGGTGAAGCAGGAAGAGGCTTCCTCTGAAATTGCGGACTCGGAATAGGTGAATGATCCACTATGACGGACATTATGGCACCCTGAGGATATGGAGGCGAAGGGATGTTCAACGGCTATAGTGCGAAAGTCGTAGAATCACACCCATGTAAAAGAGATAAATTTTAGTTTTGGGCAAGGATCAATCAAACGGCTGAATACATACCTCATTTCGTTGTTGCCGTTTCGGTAACTTGAATCCCAGATCAAGACTACACTCCTGAGGACAATCTCCTACATTCGTGGCTGCATCTGAGGCACTTTTGATGGGAGAAGATGCATATGAGCTCTGGGTGTCGTAGTTTGAAAGGGTGGCTCGACCGGAGTCTTTCAGATAGAAAGGGGAAGTAGTATGCGGATGTGAACCAGAACGATCCAACCAAGATGCACTGCCAATATCTTCACCGTCTTCCTCCGGATTGGTATCGCACAGATCAAGGGTATGATCTATCTCGAGAAAACTCTCGTTTTCTTCCATGTCAATCCCTTCTTCTTGTGAGTCGTATGATCCGTACAAGGGAAGGCTGATTGTAGATCGGTGCATGGAGCGTGATGGAATTTTCGCTTCAGTCACACAACAAAAAAGGGAACTCGGAAACAGAAAGGCATGGCAAAGAATAAATGTTCCGACATAATTGACCACGCCACCACACCTCGTCGGCCACGTTACAAGCGTATGACTTCTATGCCTCCTATGGAGCTTTCCATGTCTTCAGAGCATGTTGGTTTGTCCACATATGCGGAAGAGCCACCTTTAGGACGTGATATCACCCCACCCCCGGCACCGCCGTGCGTGGTTACTTGGCCAATTGATACTTCCAAGACCTATCCCGTCCATCGATTATCACTCGGGTCTAATTTATAGTCTGTTTTTGGATTCTAAGTCCCTTCTTGTTACAGTGAACTTCTCTTATCCAGTCCTGTCGAAATCTTTATTATATTTGTTTCCCATTCCCAGATTTCATCGTATAATGTAGTTTTCTGATCTGTTGGATTAACGATATCGTTGAACTTGCATGTTTGGTATAGCTGTATGAAGCAATTCATCTTGCTTAGACTTGTTATTTCCGACCATTCAATTATGCGCTGATTTCGAAAAAATTAGTTGGCTTTCGTGTCCACTGAACGGCCCAGCTGTGAACCCAACCATGTCGACCACCACACCGCAAGTAAACGACCAAGGCAATGTGGTTATGGGGCAGGAACTCCTGAAGAATGAGGAGCACCTTTCGGGGAAATCTGACTTCGAGGCTGCGATACAACAAGAATATGATCACCTTTCAAAAGTCCACCCAACGTCGAATGACATCCCGAGTTGTTTTTCTCTCTTTCAGTTGATGCTAGGATGTAACGGTGAGAACCACGTTCTCTAATTGCTATTCGGTTTTGTCCTCTCGTAAATTTGCAGTTCTTAAACTGACTCTGGATGCAGGTATAAAAAGCCAAGTGAAATCCCTCTATAGACATGGAGCTATGGCGGAATGCAATCAAAAACTTGAAGACTGGAAGTTTTGCCTATCTCTGAAGATGCTATCACCGGAGGAGAAAAGGAAGGCGTGGTTGCAACATAGGGCACAATGGTGGGCAGAAAGAAGGGTCAACGGAAGTAGTGAAGATGTATGGGATATCAGAACGTGAGTAATCTGTTTACGATGGAGGTGCATAGCGCTTCTCGTGTATGGCCTATTTCGTCGAACCCGATCTAAGACCTTCTAGGGAACCAATAAGAGACTACCCCAAACCACCTACTGAATTCTTTTTCGACCTGAAAACGAAGACTTTCGAGATTCGTAACCGCGACAAAGACGTACCAGAGTCATGATATTCCTCATTATAAACCGCCTGAGTATTTATCGCGTAACATTTTCTAATCTGGCCTCCTCCGTGCCACTCAATTAAGCGTACTAGTTATTAAATGACAAAGAACTACGATCCCTACTCGAGATAAATATGCAATGATGACGTGAATGGAAAGAGAGATGAACAGCGAGTGGTATTATCCTATGTGACGCCATCACCTTTGTGGGGGTCTCCCGCTTTGTCGATTAAACCATTAGCTGATTCTGGCACAGGAAGTGCCGAGTTGTCCACAATTGGATCATCCTCGTCCATTGGAGGTGGGGGTCTAAGAATGTCCTCTATCTAAGAGTGGTTGAAAAACAATGAGGCATTACCACTGGAGACACGGAAAGCGTGTAGTACTCACCAGTTCCTGCATCCGCTGGGCAGCTTCCGATACTGTCTTATCTCTCTTTCTCTCCAGCCTTTCCAAACCATCAAATCCACCAGAAGTCTCGAATAGTTTGAGATAAAGATTCAGCGGACCCTCGGCCACCACTATTTGATCACTCTCCCCAAAGCAAATCAGCTTCCATAGTGCATCCATGATCATGACCAAAGCATCAGATTCTGTAACAAATCTAAGTGCTGTGCATAGGGCGGATATTGCACCGAGAGTAACTGCGTGCCGTATGGGTCCAACTTGGCCTTTATTGATAATGTTGGCGAGTATCGCACAACACTCTCTAGTCCTCCCAGAGAATTCGTCCTCG